TGATTGCGGTGCCAACGGGCGACCAGGAAGTGTTCCTGCCCCGCCGCTTTTCTGACGCCGTTAATGGGGATAAAAATAGCCGGCCGCGCGGCAGTCCTTCACGTCGGGCCTGATTGTCTAAAACTGAAGTGGTCGAGTAAACATTTAAGCAGCCGGAGAGGTCGTTATGAGCAGCGGCCGGGTGGAGGGTTGGGCTGGAATATGCAAGTTGTATTTACAGTCTGCATGAGGACACCGTGCTGAACAGCTCGCGCAGCACTTGTGCAGCGTGTTAGCAAGGCAGGGATGTGGTAATACCAGGAATGTGGTCGTCAATACCACTGGAATGCTGTGGTTCTTGATACCATGTTTAAAAACAAATAAAAAATAAACAAATAATAATAATACCTGGAACAAGAATTCTATGATTCTTGATGCAATGTTGAAAAAAATAAAATAAAAATAATATAAATATTATAATATAATATAAATAATAAACTACTTACTACAACTACTAACAACAAAACTATTATTATTATTCGTAGTAGTAGTACTTAAATGTATTTATTTTTATAAACAAAGTATTAAGAATAATGAAATTTCAGTGATGTTATTATTATTAACTATAATAATAATAATAAATACTACAGCTACATATACAGTAAATACAGTAAAGTAGACGAAAGTGTAGTTAGAGTATTAAACAGTAAACCTCTTATTGTACCACATCGTGCTGGAGTCAGTTATACAGCAATTAACTATTTAAGTAAATTACAATAACAACACTGTAAAAATGTTTTGGTGCCCAAAAAGAATGGAAATCATAAGAACTAGCCAAGTTTGAATTCTGTTTATAGATCCAGCTTCTTAAATACATTTGAGGTATTTTTATGTGGTTATTTCAAAAATGACACCGATTACATTCTGACTTTCGCCCGTCTGTGTCCCCTGATTATTGACTGAAACGCTAAACATCTCCATACGTCCAGTTCTGGAGAAATCAGGATCTCCACTGTTGGTCATCTAAACAAAGCAAATCAGTACCAGCATGTTTGGAGAATTTTGACATCAACTTATTACTTCATGGTACATCCCTACTTAAGCATAAATGCATAAAGGATGTGAACAAATGCTAAAATCTAACCCATCATAGTGTTAACTTAACTCTAAAAGTGGATTAATTGGCATGTGCTACCTGTATGTCGTGTAAATAGCTATTTATTTAAATAAATCTAACCTGGATTGCGGTCTTCCAGTTTTATCTTTTGCTAATGCGCCTCATTTAATGGTACAACTTTCTATAGATGACAATCAAGTGGCACCGAACACTGTAGGTTAAGTGTTGCACAGGCTTTAAGGTCCTAAAATCACTTTCCAACGTCTAAATATGTCCAAACTTTCTTCATTCGCTTTGCCTTTCTGCAACAAATGCTTGAACGACTGTGAAAACAATCTGAGCTTTAACCCTAACTTTCCACGCCTCGATTTCTGTTCCTGTCTGCGTTCAAGTGGCGTTCTTCTAAAAGACGGGATTTAAATCAGGATTCAGTTGAACATCAATAAAAAGGTTTATTTTTTGTGTTGTTCTTTCGTCGGCTTCAAAATAATCGCGGCTGCTTCTGAGCAGTTAACTAAAAGCTAAATTTTTCTTCTTTAAAAAAGGGAAAGGGGGAAAAACAAAACATTCAATCTGAACGTAGAATCCCGTTTTTGCACCGGGGAATATGTGGAGAAAGTGCAGCACTTAGCAGCTCCATTAAAACGTCGAGGTGATGACTGATTTCAATTGAAAACATGCAGAGAGAAAAGACGTTTCCCCTTTTTTTTCTTGCATTAAGGTGCAGGACAGACGGTGACAAATGCATTTTCTTAATTTTCATTTTTCCCTAAAGACGATACAACTCCACGACGGGGAGGCTGTCGGGTCACAAAAGGCCGGCGTGCTATTGAAGGCATTCAGATCTTTTTTTTGTTTTAAAAAAAGAAAAAAGAAAAAAGAACATCCCGTCACAGCAGCCGTGGAGGACTGCGGCAGCCATTACCGAGCGAGCCAAGGTTAGGTGCTTAAGCCGTTAGCTCGGTGTATTCCACTGCCAACCTTGTGTTGTTATTGCAGAGGGGGCGAAGATGAGGGAGACGGGGGATTAAACTGAACTCCCACGCAGCGGCATTACTCTATTAATCGGCTGTCTTTGTCTATCAAGGTTATAACAAGCGTCGGCTCTGTGTTTTTTTTTTTTATCTCGGGGTGTCTTGTCTTTTCTTTCGATTGTTCCTTCTTTCATCCCTCTTCCTACTTTTTTTTCCACTTTCTCAATCACGCGCCGTTTCCTGTGTATTCATTCCTTTACTTCGTGTTATCGTATACGTCTCTACTCTCCACCCGTCGCTTCTTTCTCTTTCATTCTCTGGGCGATCTGTGACCTTCGACTGCCTTCATTCATCCTCCCACCGAGGCCAGGTTTTCTTTCTGACCGGTGGAGCAGCGTCTGAAGCGGTAACTCGGGCTCGAGCTGGTGTTTGAGAAACACTTGACCCTTTCGGCGCGACCTGCGGGGTGTCATTTGAAATTATTATCCGCTGGCAGCTATTCAATGAAAATGTAATTTTTTTTTTTTCTTCTTTTTTCGCTCCGTGACCGCGGCGGCAGTTCTGAGCGCGCTCGCCTCGTGTCTTCCGGTCACGCCGGTCGCTTTATAAGGTCGCGGCTGCAGTAATTACGTTTCCCTCACCTGTCTCCTCGCATAAAAGTGTCTGTTGTAACGGGTAAGAAAGAAGGCAGATGACATGCACGAAAGGTTCTCCGCTAGAACCGAACCCGGGGATCGCAGGTGTCAATGCCGCAGGGCAGGAAACTTTTACTCATCTGATTTTGTGGCTTTTATGGCGGAGAGTTCACGGAGTTTCTTCCGTGTATGTGTGGAGGAACAGATGTTCTGTGCATAAAGAAAGTCTTGCATTAGCATTCCAATCACAGATGTTTTCAATGCAAGAAAACACAAACTAAACTTACATACACACAGACCACGTGTGTCTTCGGTGCAGTCTTGAGTTTCCGATAACTCTACATTTCCTTTGGTGTAATCGTTTAAACATGCGTCTTTCTCACACAAAAGCAATCATGCATTTTGCTTCTTTCACAGATTCATTAAAGGTGTTTTAGAAATCTGACGAAATCTGCACGGAAGGTCTAATATTTGGTTTTCGGCCCCTTTAAATCATTTTCACCTCAACTGGACGCTTTGGGTTTCCGTCCACAAGCTTCTAGTCGGATCTTTGACCCTCCTCTTGACAGAACTGGTGCAATCAAACTAAATTTCCAATCTTTCTGACTTGTTTCTTCATCACAGTCCACAGGTTCTTGATGGCTTTAAGTCGGGACTTTGGGGAGACCGATGTAAAACCTTAATTCTAACCTCGTTTAGTAATTCATGAACACTTTCATTGTCTTGTTGGAACCCCAAACTGCATCCAAGATATTTCATGTGCAGTATAAATTCTGTCTTTTAGCATAATAACGGATAACCTGGAGATCATTTAAGTGACGTAAGGCATCATCAGACCAAGCAGCAAACTGGATTTACAACACAAACTCTTTCTACCATCTGTTTCCTTCACTGGTTATATCTTTTCTCGTTCAGTCACCGTTTGGCCTCCACGTGAATCAGCCAGAAACTCTTTAACTTCTAAATAACACACAAAACACTCGGGCGGTTTGACAAACATTTTGTCCAAACAAACCTGCTTTTTGTGGCGGAGTGGACGACAAACAACCTGCAGATAGAAACCTGCATCTGTTTAGCTGAACTCTCTGGACCTTCTTTGTTTAAGCTCCTGCACAAAACTCACATTGTTCAGCACATCACGCCGTCGACTAGACGCAGCCGTAGCTCAAAATTCATCGACGCCTAAGAAGTATACGGTATACATAAGCACGTTTCCATAAACAGGTGATTAACCCTCGGAGACATAACAAAGCTCAGAGCTTTCATACGAGCCTATACTGTGCCAGCCTGTGTGAACATGTTATTGTCCTCCTACACAATCCACCACACGACACAACAGCCTCGTGTCCTACCTCCCCCAGGTTTCCTTTTCTATCCCCCCTCCCGCCCCGCCACCGTTTGTTCGTTTGTCATGGCATTTAATTATTGTGTATAAAGAGAAGCAGATCCGGGCCTCCATGTGCATCCGTGGAGTTTGAAACCTTGGTGTCTTTGTGCGACTTTCACATTAGCGCATTGTTTGTCCTTGGGCGGGTTTCAGTGTTTGCAACCTGGAAGGGAAAAGAAAAACATACTTGTGGCTTTGAAATGGTTGGCGCTCTTCTTTATATTCATGCTGCATTTATTTATTTATAAAGACAAGAATAAACTTTTCTACTAGTAATTCTTTGTGACTTTGCAGACTGGTAACTTCAACAACAGTGCTAACTATTTTTTTGGCTACAGGGCTGTTTTTTTTTTTCCCTCCCGCTCGATATTTACATCATGTTTACCACCTCACCGTAAACTGTCATTTTCCATTTTAACAATGTCCACTGAGTTTAACCATTTTGTTCCAAAATGAAATATGGCAACAGATTCTCAAAAAAACAAACAAAAAAAATCACACCTGTAGAGTCTGAATTATTTTCTTCTATTTGTCTGTGAATGATGTTTTCCTTCCTTAAAAATTTCATTTTTGAACAAAACCCTTCATATTTGAATTAACCCTGGTTGCTGACTGTGTTCTTTAGCATGTTGCTAATGTTTTCCTTCCCACCCCTGCATGATTTTTAACGCTCTTTGCGTGTGGATGAAATGCTAAATTTATCTTCACTTTGGGATTAACTGTCCGGTTTTCCTTCAAAGCTAACATGTGTGTGTTTCGTCGGTGTGCATTAACAGCTGCATGCGTGATCATTGGTTTGGCTATTTGTTTGAGGTTGCCTACCGATGTGACTATGTGCGTACCTGTGTGTGTGTGTGTGTGTGTGTGTCTGCGTTTGTGTATGTGTGTGTATGTGTGTGTGTTTGCAGGTGCGTCCACGCAGGACTCTGACGCCATGGAGCCGGAGAAGCAGGTGGACAGCACGGTGAAGATGGCCGGAGTCATCGCTGGCATCCTCATGTTCATCATCATCCTCCTCGGAGTCGTTCTCACCTTCAAACGCAGGTAGGTAGCGAAGGCTGACGGCACAACCAAGCCAATGTATTTTTTATTTTTTACTGTTTATTTTTCTATCTCCAGTGCCGTTCTCTTAACCTGCAGACAGGACGGTTGGTAGCCTCCATCTGAATGTCCGCGGTTGCTGCTGATTTCATTTTTTTGGGGGGCATGAAACAGCAACAGGGGGCTGCTCCTCCACACGAAACCCGTCGGACGCTTTGATAGTTTCTGGTGACAGCAGATGGTGAACAGACCAAAAAATCTGTTTAAAAAAAGACGACAGCAACAAGAGCACCACTGGCAGGAGATGGAGGCCACCAATCGTCTTGTCCAATATTCAGCATTTAACATCTTTAATGCAAAATTAATTGTGTCCTCGTAGCGTTTAAATTAGCACGTGTGGATATGTAGGCGGAAATGTTAAAGTTAACATTTAATATGAAAAGTTTCTCATTTAGTCAACAACAAAAAAAAAACACCCAGGAGAGATTTAGGACTGTGAAGGCCACAAACTTTTATTCATGCCTTCAGGCAAAAATAAAAGGTCAGGATTACACATTAAACCTGGTAATCCCCTTTAACCCTTAGAGGCAAAATAAATAGTAGTGATAGTTGTGCCCAGAGTTAGGTGTCTAAACCCCATGTCAACTGTTTTTTATTTCTAGCAGAACTACAAAGCTTTCTGTGTCTGTGTGAACACCGGCTTTGCCACCATCACCTGCCTCTCTGTCCTTTACTTTCTCTGATTCTCTGTATCGCTCCATCCATCTCCCCTCCATCCCCTTCCTTTTCTACCCCACTCGGCTTACACCATTTGTTTTTGCTCGCGGGGCCTCACGTTTGTTCGGTTTCTTGTGTTACGGTTTTTGACAGTTTCCCACTCCGCACATGCAAAACATTTACACAAACTTGATGCCGAATGGCTTCGAAATCGGTCTTGTTTGGAGAAGTTGATGAAAATTAGCAGAGTGTGACCAGCAAAAATAGCTCATTTAATGACACAGCAGCCACTCGTGTCAGTAATTAAACATGTAACTACATACAGCACAAACCGAAAGCTACTGGAAGCCACGAGGATTACTTGGTCTGATCGCCTCGGGCCTTACATCCCAATACTTTACTGTTTTTTTTTTTCTTTCTCCAGAAGCAAACATCAGAATAAGTACAGACTGGAAAGTGCAGGGCTGTCTTCAGAAGCACTGATGATGGTGGTTAATCCTCCAAAGATCAGGACTGTCGTGATTTTTTTTTTTTTAAGTAAAGAATGCAGACTTTTGCTACTCGTTCTTGTTTGGAGGAGATTTACTGAGACCACAGCGTGAAATGGTGTATGCATGCAATTCCCAGTTTAGATATTTAAAGACAAAACATACTCGACAGGTAGCTAATGATTACAATATCAAGACTGTAAATTGGAAAGTCTGGCTGCAAGTATTAAACAGTGAATGTAGTGTTCTAGAGAAGACATCAACTGTACAGGAACTACCCATCCATCCATTATCTATACACTAACCCTCACTAGGGTCATGGGGGTTCTGGAGTCTATCCCAGCTGACTCAGGGTGAAGGCAGGTTCACCTGGACAGGTAACCAGTCTATCACAGGGCTACACTTAGAGACAGACAACCAAGCACACTCACATTACGGACAATTTAGAATCACCAATTAACCTCAACATGTTTCTGGACGCTGCACGGGGAGAACATGCAGAAAGATCCCGGGTGTCCTCACCGGGACGCGAACCGGCGACCTTCTAGCTGCGAGGCAACGATGCTAAGCTACCTTGCAGCCCAGTAACAAACTGTTCCAAGTAAATTACAATCGTAGCGCTGTAAAAATCCAGTAAAATGCGGCGGTTGTTTGTATTTTGCTGGATTATTACAGCTGCATAATTTTCAGAATCAAGTTTATTGACCAAGTTTGTAAAAGCAAACAAGGAATTTGACTCCAGAGAATCTTAACTCTCTGTATAGGAAATGAAATAGAACAATAAAAATTAAGAGTAATCACTAAATAGCAGCATTTACAAGTATTTCCAATTAGAAAATCTGCTAGTGCCGGGTTCTAATATGTTATTTTTATTGTAGAAGTGTCACCCAAAGCATGAGATTTTACCAAAACTAACCAAACGCACAGAGAAAATCGACTGTAAAGGAGTGAAAATAGAACTCAAGAATCGAAACGTGGTGCAAAGTCAAGTCTTCTTTGCAGCTTGTGGCTCTTTTAAACTGAAAACTCTTCCAACTATGTCCCAGTCTTTGAGAAAATACATTTCTTTTTACACAAAATTCAAGTTTCCTATAAAAGACAGTGCAGTTTAGCTGTATTTAAGAGATGTGGCTGCACATTTAGAGCATCAAATAACATCTATTTCTTCCTTCCTTCTATGGATGGTGACACACTACATGCTATATGTTGGTATACATCGCCACGCTCGCCGTGCAATTAAAATGCCGTTTCCATCTCGAAAACCCACAAAGCACCTGAGCCCGGTGCAGACGGACACATATAAAGCCTCGTGCACGGACAATAATCCTCATTGCTAGTCTGAATAAAACGCTACATCCATTTCAAGTGAGAAGAGGAGGTTTGGGAGTCGTACGGGGCGTTAGGTCAGCCGGCAATGCTAATCAGAGGCAGACCCGGGCTAACGGAGAGTATCCCCAACAACAAGAAAGACGAGAATCCATCGGAAAGATGAGACGATGAAGGTACACGCCGAGACTTCAGAGGAGCGTGTAGGCAGGGAATAGAACGGGAAAAGAAGGAAATGTATGAGGTTTTTGAAAAGAAATAAAATTAAAATTGAAAAGCAGGCAGCCCTGGTTAACCCTGGGGTCAAGTGGATATGCTAATCAGATGCTAACCAGGCTAACGGGGCATAATATCCTTAAATAAAACAGCCAATTAGAGGGCAAACACCACCTCAAGTCGGTGCGTGTTGGCAAAAAATAAAAAATAAAAGTGCAATGAAGCAGCGGAAAAGGAAAGAAAAGACGAAAGCAGTTGAGATGCTGCTGAAGACGTCGAGCGAACCAGTCGGGCTTAGCGGTCGTAGGTCAAAGGCAGTCGTGTATGAAGATGCGATGGGGGAGGAAGAAGAATCAGGAAAGGATAGAAAGAAAATATAGAAAAGAAAACTAATCGCTAAACCGATCACAGACAAACGGATTCAGACAGACGTATCATACGCCGCTTTCTAGGGTCATCTATATTTCATCCCGCACACTTTAGCCCCGGCGTCCCGGTGGCGGAAATAAAAAAAAAAAAAAGAAGTGTCTCTTTAAACCGAAAGTGTTTTACATGCCTTTCAAACCCCATAAATTATTCTGTGACAAAACTTTGCCGGGAAGCGAACACGCACGGCTCTCCGATTAATCTTTCAGAGCGCCGCTACACATGTTCCAAATGGGGATGTTGTAAATGTAATAACGCCGGACATGGCTGAAGTCTTAATGGCCGTTCGGTGTTTCTCCATCCAGGTTGCCCCCGCAGGGCTCAAACACACCGGCAACCAGAAGACACACTTTTCATAAAAAAAAAAAAAGGTTGATGAATAATTAATGTTCCTGAAGCTTCCTAAACAGCGGCTGATTTTCTGAGTGTTGGTGCCGAAGCTCAGCCGAGTAATTGAGGGAAAAGGTGACATTTCTTCCAAATTGATTCAAAAAGAAAGAGAAGAAAAACGTTATTTAAACTTTTTCACCTCCTATTTCCTTTCAGCGGTTTTAAAGCCTGACCCAGCCGTTTTGTGTGTGTGTGTTTTTTATTTTTTATTTTATTTCCACGTGAAGCTTTCAGACGCCTCTCATGTCCAGGTCAGCCTTAAAAAGGAGCCTGAAGCTTGATGAGGCTACCCGGATCATAGCTTAAGTAAAAAACAAATTATATAAACAGCTCAGAGTGAAAGAAATGAATGAAAGCAGGCGGACAAACAAACAACCCCTCAGTGCCCCGTCGCATTAGCTCCTGTATTCTGGCTGTTTGTGAGGAAGGATTTGAATTATTAACTCCAAACCTCGGCGTAGTTAAAAGGTCCCGACAGATGAGCGGCTCCGGTCCATCCATACGGAGCTATCCGTAGGTTTTAACATTTATATTTCATCTGATTCGTGTCTTGTTGGATTTATTGCACCGACTAGGATGCACACGTGTAGTTCTGCGAGATCCCAGGAACTTCATTTAGTCTGAATGAGATAAAGACTTGCAGGAAAGAGACAGAAGTGAGGAAGGAGTTCTTTATCATTTTAACTCAGGAAGGCCGTCGTTCCGTCCATGATGCCGCCATACTTGTATGACAGGTTGAAATAAAGGGAACTAATTGGTCAGTTGTGCAACCGAGTCTCCGTAGAAGTATGGTCCGATGCAGCTAAACCGTATTCTTTACCCTGTTCAGGACTTTTGGAGTCTTTTGGAGCCCGGGCCATTTGGTTTCAGTGACAGGTATTGGTTTTATTTTTGAAGATTATTTTGAGGGATATTTGTCATGCATTTGGAACCAAAAACTAAGTCAACTTATCAGAGAATTTGTTTGTCATAGTGTAGAAGTCTATAATGAATACCAGGACCCAGAGAAACCTTCTACCTATGGCAACATCAAAGTCCTGAACAGGGTTTAGTGATGTTTAGAAAGAAATGTAATTTAATATAATTTGTGACCTGTGACGTGGTGGGAAAGTTTGCAAAAGTGACCAAGTCCGAGTCAGGAGGCGTAAAATCAGAGGCTGGACTCTAGAAGATAAAGATGTTGGCGTCCTACGATGGACGAAAGACCATCAGTGTCAGAATTACGTTTCGTTTTTCTTTCCTTTCTTGCACAAACACTACTCGGTTAGGTCCACAACAATATCACACTTTGTTAGACACGTTCACAGTTAAGGTTAGACACCAAAAGAGTTTAGAAAAATGTCACTGTCTGGATTAAATATGACCTTTTTACTACACGTTTGAAGCCTCTCGTCCATTTTCTGGGCTACAAAGCTGACAAGTCCCGCCCCATCTAGCGTACGATTGGTCGGCTGAACGGGAGCAACAGTGAAGCCGTAGAATTCCTGAACTACAAGGCCAGGATGCATTGATTAAAAATAATGAAGCACGATATTAAAATTTCCGGCCGATACCGACATCCGATATTAAGATTTCTGATATCGCCGATAACCGATATCACCGATGTCGATATTCAATTTCTATCTATGAGTATAAGTCAGCACTGTGAGAACGTGAAAACTATTTAAAAGAAGCCCAAATTAGACCACACAGTCTTCTCTGTTACGTAACAAAAGTAAAACATATTTTAACGTATTTAAGTCCAAAAGTAAAAACATCTGTGAAATAGCAGCAATATCAAATGTAGAGACGAAGGCGCTGATGTTAGACCATCATCGGTTTTTCACGTCGGCTAAATTTGTTCATCAGACCGATACCGATATATATCGGAAAAAACACTAATATCGGCCGATACCGATATCGGTCGCCAATATATCGTGCATCCCTAATTAGAAGCATCTTTTTTATTACGAACAGAAAATACCTCAAAACCTACTTGAGAAGGCAGTTTAGTTGGACAGGAAAGTGATTTTGCCGAGCCTCATTGCAGTCGTGAGACAAATATGATGTTATGTAGAGATCGTGGATGAAGTCTGAGGCGTTTTCTGGCTATAAGTGCTGCTGGACGACAGATTAGAAACACAAATACACAACAAGGACACACAGCTGAAGACGTACCTACACAGGTACAGCTGCTGTGGACGAGTGAGTGTCAGCGTTATGTCGCAAATGACAGACAGATGATGCAGGATGCACTGAGACAGCAAAGAAGCAAACAAACCTGCATGTAAAGACACAGCCATCAATCCGGTGTGTGCACAAATCTTTAAATATTGGTCTCTAACGTTGCATATTTAGCAATAGCAGCTAGCATGTGTGTGAGACAGAACAAGAGTTGGTGTGTTGTGTATACATGTACGTCTCCTCCTGCCAAGCGGCGATTGTTTTGTTCGCCTTTGTGGACGCGAGCTCGTCTGCGCGGCTGGAAATCAAACACCGGAGCCGTGCGAGTGTGTGTTTGCTCCTGCTCGGGGCTTCTGAAGCCATTATTGATAGGGGATTGTTTCACACATGGCCACGTAGACAGACTGAGCGAGACGTCCAGATGGATCCGCAAACACCAGACATGCTGCTCTTGGCCTCCCCGAACGCCGAGCGAAAAAAAAAAACAAAAAAACATTTCCATCCCGTCTCGGACTCTTCAGCGTCCTTGATGGCAGCACTTCATTTCAAGTCCCTAATGGATGGAGTTAATCTGCAGCGCGTCTCCATGATTATACATGAATGCACCTTAATTTCTCCCTCCCCCAGCGCGAATCCCAGCCGCTGAAGAGAGAAGGCCACTTTAGCTTGAGATGGCATAAGTAGTGATAAAAGGTAGATTTGCCACAGATGGTTTGCCTTGAAATCACAAGAGGAACAAGGACGGAACGTTTTCTTGGAGGGATTTTTTTTTTTTAATCAGAAAAAGAAAGTTTCACATAAACATAGGGACGCGTGGGGCTTGGACGGTGGCCGTGATGATCAGGTTGTCGTCGTGTTTGAACCCTTTTGCACTTGAGCGGTCGTGATGTTTGGTCGTACGAGAAGGTCACCGAGTAGCTCGACTTGTTCCGCCTCAATTCACCGAATGCACAACGAGTGAGCATCTTCCGTTCGACTATTGTTCTTTTAAAGTGCTGCATGTGGGTTGCATCAGTTTTTAAGCTAAAAATTCTTGCTCGTGTCCGTTTTGTGCATCGTTTTCTTCGCGTCAATCTGTGGAAAATTGCTCCAACAGATTTGTTGCGAAGAAAACGATGCAAAAATCGTTTTTCACTCAAAAAGTTGCGACACCTTCGACCAAATATTTTACACGTTTTACCAAATAACAAATGTATGCAGAGAACAAAAATCCATCCGTCCATCCATTATCTATACGCCGCTTAATCCTCACTGGGGTCGCGGCCGACTTAGGGTGAAGGCAGGTTCACCTGGACAGGTAACCAGTCTATCACAGGGCTACACTTAGAGACAGACAACCAAGCACACTCACATTCACACCTAAGGACAATTTACAATCACCAATTAACCTCAACATGTTTTTGTGGGAGGAAGCCGGAGAACCCGGAGAGAACCCACGCTGCACGGAGAGAACATGGAGACTCCACACAGAAAGATCCCAGGTGTCCTCATCGGGACGCGAACCGGCGACCTTCTTGCTGCGAGGCAACAGTGCTACCAACTGCGCCACCTTGCAGCCCCAAACAAAAATCAAACACAAAAAATGATTTGTTGAGTTGAGGTGGAATGACTCCTTTTAAAATCGTAATTCAAGATTTTGATAACAGACTCGGTAGCATCACCGGCTACAGATCGTTAAATTAGAACATACTTTGCCTTTATAGCCTCCATCAGAAGTGGCTGGCGCATTTCATCGGTGCATGAGACAGAATATGGGAGGACTTGGAAGAGTTTACCTCGTGTATGTTGTGAAAACACTACATCTTCCCTCAGACAGCTCAGATCTTCCTGTACAATAAAGGAGACCTTAACTTCCAAGTCTGAGATTCATCCGGTGACGTGAGGATTATAGGATGCACAAAACTACAAGGAGAGGATGCTGTTATTGTCGATGCAATCACGTGAAACTCGGTGATTGCTCTCGGTTTTGCAAAGCTGAGTTCTTAAACAGATTTCACTGTATGTTAGAACTCATTCCTGCAATCAGTGTAAGGGGTTTGTTTAGGTTTTTTTTCTTGTGCTATATGCAGTATTAACAGGGTTCTAGGAGGGATTTTTACAAGAATGCATGTGTTTGTGATGAGAAAAGAAGGAATTGTGTCGTTCGATTGAATGCAAAGTCTAACCCTGAAACATACAAACCCTTCACGCTTTTTCACGAGTCGTCGTCGCCTCGAGTCGAACATCCATCGCTTCTCTGCACTCAGGCCGATCCATCCCAGCTTACCAGTCACTCTCCTCCTCTTATCATCTCAGCAGTAACCAACACAAGCAAACATCTCTGGTCGCATTTGATATTTTTCTCCATAAACATCCTCTTACATCCCCCCCCCTTCCCCCCTTTTCCTGATACTCTCCTAAATAAACGAGCAAATGAATATTTTATCCCAATTGTTCCGAGGGAATAAAGAAAATCAGTCAAAATAAGCGTTGCAAAGTTCTCCGCCTGAGAAGGCGGAAAAAACCAAAGTGTCACTTTGCTAAGCAGAAAACAGCTTTAATTGGAGCGCTCGTAGCGACTCGAGGCGTTCTCAGCGTTTTGGTGATAAATTTGGGAGAATTAACGCCGCTGTTTCCTCTCCGGAGTCGGCTCTGCTCGTAACAGCAAACACATCCGTTGACACGTCAGAGTTTCAACCGGCGATGACAGAATGTGTTCACAAGACAAAGAGGTAGAAATTGATTTTCTGAACGTGGCCTCGTGTCCACTCTGAGCGGCTCTTTGAGGGAATGTTTTCTGTATTCCTGTTGTCTTTGTAAAGTGTTCACCCGCTCTGACAAATTGCTCATGCCACTCATGAAACTCTGGGATTTCTGCCTGTTCCAGTCCATGTTTGAAACTTGTCACCTTGATAAATCCTTCTATCTTAATACACCACTTGACAGCCCGCCTCCCCTTTTGAAGTCCACGCGCCGGCACACCGTGCTGCGAAACACAAAGTCTGCTTTTCAACCCATGTGGGGGCAGGTCTGATCCTTTCACGGCTGCCTAAACAGATAAGAATCAAGCTCAGCCTATCGTTCACGCTCGCTGTTGTCCAGGTTTGTCAGCCGAAATTCATGTTAATGGATTAAATAATAATAATAAAAACGACAGCCAGAGTGAATGGATGCTTCGTTTCATTATCGGTATCAGACAGCTACAACATCTGTGCCAGAGAATGATAAAAGTGCATGAATTCAGTGAGAACAAAATATCCAGCATGTGTACAGAAAACAACAAGAGCAGCAGCAGCGTGAAGTTACAGCTTCTTGTTTTTTTGCTCTGTGTCAACAGAAATGTGAGGGAATGGGGGGAAAAGTTTCAGATGTCTTTTTTAAATTTATTTTTTATTTTTATACACCGCAACCTCTCTGACTCGAGTCTCACACCCTTTTATGTCTCTATCTATCTTCCTGTTTCCTGTCTTTGGCTCCACCCCTTCCTGTCCCGTCCTGTACCTGCCTTGCCCTTGCTCCGATAGAGAGATTCACACGTGGAGAACTCTGAGCGTGGGGTATTGTATGTTTACTTCTAGACATGAACGCATCCACTCCGTTCCTCACTGTGACTCTCACTCAGTGTTTTTATTTTCTTTTCTTTAGCAGTTTTCCAAATGCATCTTACGACTGGAAAACGGATGTGTTATTCCCAGGATAATTAAAGTATTTTCTCACACATGCCCCTCAAAAACCTTTTAAAAAAAAACCAGTCTGTTCAGATTATGTGCCATCTTGAGGAGCTGTTTGAAGCAAAGATATCTCATTTTTAAATTCTTCCAGCTTGGGACGGCACACATGCTGCGCACCTTTCAGCGGTAATAATGTGCTGACAGTGTGCGCCCACAACCTGGTAATTGCTGTGGTTACAAATCCCAACATTGTTTAAAAGAGAGCCGCGGAAATGTGCCGTCCTAAGCGACACGTAAAGATGTTTTGGGAGCTACACATCCGTTTTCTTGGAGCGAGTGAAACACCTAATATTTTTTTAATCTCTGTGGCACACATGTAATTTTCTCTCCGGCTTTTAGCGGCTGAGAAAACCCCACCAAGAGGTTTTTTTTTTAAGCTGCTCTCGCTGCCATTTAGCAGCCAGATCTGTGTCACTAAGTGGTTGAAATTTAGGCTTTTTTTTTTTTCATCTTATTCCTTTGAGCATCTCAATGCAAGCCATTTTACAAGTCCTCACTTATGCACTTACATCTTGCATCCCCCGCCATATCATTAGTTGATATTCTTCTGTATCTTATGCAACGGATTGAAGATGTATTGCAGCGTTTAAGTGCGGCGGCGGTATGCTAACAGAATGCTCGGGTGTAAATGAGACTTTTAAAATGGCTAACACGTGACATTATGTGTGAGATGCTCTTGGTGAACGCTCCCCTTGTGTATTTGGTCATTTTGTGCATTTGTGCCATCGTTGCATGCCGTCTTGTGCTCACACCTTTACAACAAATATCACCGATCCATCCACTGCATCGACCTCTCATTTTCCTCTGAGATGTTTTTGGAATTTCTGTCCGGCGCCGTTTTGATGCACTGTCAATAATTCTGGTATTTGCAAAGATATCTGCAGCTGCAGACAGTTTCCCCCCCAATTACGAGAAAAATAAAAAATCAGAAAATTCAGGGCAGAGAAATGAAAAACTGCTCCACATTCTTTTGATAGTGGGAGCAGGTTGGCGTAATTGATTGCATCTCACCGCAGAGCAAACAATTATGCCGGAATTTTTTCGAGAGTCGAGCCGGCAGCCAGCCAGCCACCTCCGATATTAGAGAGGAAAAAAAAAAAGGTTAAATAATTAGTGCAACTTTGTAGGTTATAAATTATGTGTTTGGCTTCGACAAATGAAACATAGGTGGGTGATTAAAACGGAGATATGCGGTAATATCTCGCCCGAATGAAATTTGACGCTTCACAAATATCTCCACCCACACTGTTCTGGGCTCAAAGACAATCCACTCAGCGCCTGTCATGGTAGCTATCGCTTTGGATTCAGTTTTCTCTCTAATAAAAAACCCCTGTCTGCTTTTTTTTTAAAGTTACCTACACCTCTGTACCTGAAGACTTATTATTCGAAACCCAAAATTAGAACTGAACTTTAAATTAGACATCACGAGTTGTACTTTCTGGAAGTTTGCATTTCTGTGGAACATTTTTTTTTGTTCACGCTGCTGAAATACGTCAACATTAAAACCACCCTGTGCAGACCTCTGAAGATGTTGGGTGGCTCGATCAAGTTTGAAGTGGGGTAGGACCCACTGCCCTGCTGGGGGGAAGCTATACGTTGGATAAAACCATTTCCACTGGGGGAGGGGTGGTCTGGAACGCCTGTTTAGTTAGACCCTACACGTCAAAGTAACGTCCACGTGAAGGCCAGGACTCAAGGTTTCCCAGCAGAACATTGCGCCGTAATGACATGATGAATGCTCTACACGTCGGCTGTTTTGTGGCCGATCGGTGTGTAGACGTGGCCTTGCAGGAGGATGAAGAAGTGGTTGCGTTTGAAGGTGACGTGGACGATGGTTTCTACCGGGCTGCACCATGCGTGTTGTCTAAAAATGCATGCAAGAATTAAATATTTCATCACTTTAATTAAAGAAGAAATGAAGCTAAATTCAGTTTGACTGCGAACCAGCTGGACGGGGTTTACATCCCCTCAGAGGAACATCACCTCACTGATGTTTTACCCGCCTTTATCGAACCCAGCCTTGGCCGTTGACTTCTCCGCAGTCGTTCTACTCTATAAACTTCTCAATAGATTCTGACCTATTTCGGCAAAACCGACAAGGAGGAGAAAAGAAACGATAAGATTGTTGCACACCAAATCGTTAGATTTTCAACATTTTTTGTCGCGTTCTCTCTTCAGGAGAAACGGGTTCGCGCCGCTGACACACATCTCATTAGGGAATTATGGGGCTGCCCTGACCCGCAGCTTTTGTAAGACTTTAAATTACCCACCGCCGTCCCTCCCTCCCTCCACGTCTACTTGACTCTATCTAAAAAGTCGGGAAATAAATGATGAACCTCCACACTGAGACAGCAAAAGGACACATCTTCTTTCCAGACAATATACTGCGCCCCCGGGGATCTCAGTCTATGACAAGAGAAAAGAGGCGATTAGTAACTGATGTCAGCCCGGGGAATGGACTCGGGCTGGATCCGCCGCAAATGGCAGCTTCCTACAAAAGCCAAGTGTGTGTTTGTGCAGTGAAACCGATGGACTCAGACACACACACGTATTACAAAGTCCTGAGTGCTTCCATGCTAAACTCATTCTAAATTGCTAACACACACACATGCACGCTCACAAAAGAACTGGACTTGACCCCCATTCTGCAGACGTGACACCCGGTTGAATAATGGACTCTGCAGCTTGCTGAGATAAACGCTTGATGGTCCACTTACGCGGCACCGTTAAAACGGGCGACGCGCTAGCAAACTCTCACGTACTGTACGATCCCGCACGTGAAAAAATCTGTTAAACTGGATCTTACTTTCATGGCTGCCCTTTATTTCCTAGCAGTTATAAAACCACCTTTAATTGCTGCGATGGACAAAGAAGCTGTTAGATAGTTGGAAAACAACTCCATGTTTGAGCCAGAAGCGGATTATTTGCAGGTAACATTAAGATAAAAAGCAGCTTTTTGTGTGTGTGTGGTGTAGTGGGAGTAGCTCTTCAAATAAGATAAAATAGAAACCATTTTCCCGTCCAGGTACCGGTCCCAGGTACTATCAACTATGCATTTTTCTATTTGTCTGTGTCTGAGCAGCGATGCCGCTTTGCACCCAGAGGACTCTATTATAAAGCGTGTTGTGCTGCTGCATCCTCAGATCTCAGCAGAAAAGTCCGTCCATTAGCTATACTTATGTTGCCCTGTAGAGGATAGCGGGACACTCAAGCCTTTCCCAGCTGACGGTGGGACGGTTTACCGGTCCGTCGCGGGGAAAACTACAATTACAGCCAATTTAGAATCAGCGGTTAACCTGCCGTGTGTGTCTTTGGCACGTGGGAGGAAGTCGGAGCGTCCGGGGAGAAACCGCACAGGCTCACAGGAAGGCTACCGGAAAAAACCACATAAATCAACGTGACTGTGGTTCACAGCTGAACAATACAGGAACAAAGCCCAGCAGCAGGTTTGAAAGACGTGTAATCATTTAAAAAACTGCCAAAATTACCACTTTATCAAGATGGTCCAGAAACTACTCATCTGTGACGTGACGTTTGTTTGGGAATCTCCTCAGAATCACCTTATCCTGCATGTCGTCTTTAAAATATTGCCATTAAAGAGTTTAATCTCACCAGATTCTGTAAAAAGAAAATGAAAAAAAATCTGTACCTCTGTGCGACCGTGAAGCCTCAACTGTTACCAACAGTGACAAAACTTCAGGGACTTTTGGGCTGAACTAGGATGAACTGCAGGCTGAGCTTTCTGTTGGTGCTCGCAGGAGATACCGTGGTGTCACTGAGCAGAGGATTGTGGGTAAAAAACATCTAACTGGGTGTCGTAGAACATCCTGCTGTCAGGAGTCCTCCTCTTGTTTTGGACGTTTTCCCCTTTTATTGATTTTTGGCATTGAATTAGTTTAATTTTGCTTTTTAAACAAGAATTTACCCCAAAAAATTGTCTGAATATGTTTAATTACAGATTTAACATGTAAGTAGGAGGATATTTATAATAAAGAAAGTCACCCTTCTTTTTAAAAATCAAGTTAACACCTGAAAAATGCTGAACATAATGATTCCAGGTCAATTTTTGCATAATCGGTAATTAAAGATGTGCAGCTTCTGTTTTTCTTCTGCTATGATTTACATCATTACAGTTGTGTGATGCTGCACAAAGGACATCTTTGAGTTCTTTCTAGTTCTAGTCGTGGTTTGTGTTGTTTCCACAGAGGAGCAGGACTTTGTATTGTAGAGAAAAACTGTAAACACACCCAGAAACTGCTTTGGATTCAGTTGTTTTCCTGTATATACTTCATGCTAATCGTAGTTCGGCTGCTGTTTTACATTTACAATAGTGCGTTTTGCATCACTGTTGAAAATAAAACACACTTTCAGCTGCGTATTTTTTGAGGTAAACCAAAGATTGTTTATCTCTGTAACTATAAGCTGCTTGTTCTCGTAGTTTAATCGTTGCAACCGGACTTGCTTGAGGTCCTCGAAGACGTTCCACCTCTCATCCAAGAGGCTTCATCAGCTCTGACTGACTAGTTGGGAGTTCCACATACTTCTATCCTTGAGGAGCCGTTAACGTTTGTGTGTCCAGTTGTTACGATTAAACTACGAGACCGACCGTGACCTGGATGACTGAGAATCTTCACAGACTACAAGCTGCTCAAAGATAAAAAAACTCTCTTCTTCGGCCACTTTTGTGTCTTCTGGTGGGAAAATGATCAAACTGAACCCATCTTGATTCGATCTCTCTCAATCACAGTGCAGGAAAAGCGCCTGCTTGACAGAGCTGCTAACCTGCTTTAATAAGACTTTAATAGATAAGAAATCTTCCCGAGAAC